CCTCCTCCGCTAGCCACGTCCAGCCCACTTCCTCGTCGGATTCATCCGCTCTCCACGCAACCAGCTCCAGCCTGCTCGCTCCCCTCAGCTCTGAAACCCCTGCTCGCCACACTCCTGTCCGGTAGGACAAACCCTAACTCCTGCTCCAACCTACTCGCTCTCGGGAGTGTAAAGACACAGGCTCAACCCTCCTTTCATCTGCCTGGCGATAATCCCCAGCTCACTCCGGAGCCTCGGCTGAGGATCCCCATTCCCTCGCTTTTTTATCCCCTTTCCTGGACTATATTAACAACAGTTAGTATCCCCTGTCACGATTTGTAATGAAAACCTTTTGCTGCTAACTCCTGTTTTTCTGTCCGTGTTTGTATTGTGGGTTCAGTCCTGAAAAGCGATCACGGAGCTTAACAGAAACATGTTTTCGATGGAGGAGAGTGAAAATGGAACGCACATGCCATTTGTTGTTTGTTTATATCATACAGTCTGTTCTTCTTCTCTCGGTGTATCACGCAGTCTGTCAGGGTTGTTGCCTCTTTTGAATGACGAATACACACTACCGCCGCCTGCTGGTAAGGAGTGTTATTGCCACTCACGCATGCGCAGTTCGTAAGTGCTTCTTGGCCGTCGGCTGAAGTCTTTGCGGTGTGTTCCAGTGCGACACATCGCCAATCCGCAGAGACGCGAGGCGACGCGACAGTCGGGGTCGGTCTGTGTCAGTTCTTTGTTGTCAGATTGGTGTGTCCGGGCCTTAAGGGGTTACACAAGCTAAAAAATCGTTATGACATCATAAAGTGGTCAAAATCTGATCAGCTCATTTTCAGACAGGTTTTTATAGAAATGGATCAGGACAAAAAGAGAGAGAATCTTTGTTCCTGAAACTTTCAGAGTCTCTTTACACAGAGGGGACACATGTTGATGTAGAACAGTGCTTCTCAAAGTGTGGTCCGTGGACCGCTGGTGGTCCGTGAGCGCCCCCTAGTGGTCCATGAGTATATTGGTAAAATTTCACATTTTAAATTAATTAATTAATTAAAGTTTTTCGCACTCTCGCGGGAATATCTCTGCAATGGAGCGAGCTTAAGTTTCACTTTCGATTGCATAATATATCCCAGATAAACATCTTCATCACACATGTTGCCACTTGTTTGTACCATTTTCAGGCAATTTGTAAAAAACTATGTGTTTTTGGACATTTGTGGAGTTAGGTGGTCCGCGAGTGTTTTTTTATTGGTTAAGTGGTCCTTGGTATGAAAAAGTTTGAGAAACACTGATGTAGAAAATACATGCAAAAGTGGATTTTGGATAATATATAACCTTTAAGGAACCCTCTCTTTGTGTGTGTTTTGTCAGGCATCAGGTCAAATTGTGGCTCACAGGATGGAGGATGTGAAAGCCAACAGCGTGCACATCGCCTGGCAGATCCCTCAGTACGTCCTCCTCACCATAGGAGAGGTCATGTTCTCCATCACTGGCCTGGAGTTCTCCTACTCTCAGGCTCCGGCCAACATGAAGTCTGTGCTGCAGGCTGGCTGGCTGCTCACCGTGGCGTTCGGAAACGTGATCGTGCTGATTGTGGCCGAGGGAGCGGGACTGGAGCAGGTAGGGTGATATAGGAAATTGTGGGCACTGTAAAAATGTATACCATAATTTACTAGTTACATGTGAAAGAATATGTCAGTTTTTGGATTTGGGCCATTTTGCTTCCATGACATGTCTTTTTTCAGCTAGCACACTTTCACACAAAGAAAATACACATTTAGTTGTTACTTTATTAAATGTGTATATTTGTGTTTGAGGATTTCTCCTAAATTCAACAGAAGCAGCATTAGATTCATTTGCAAATGTAAGCATAATACAGTACATGTAGTGTCTTCCAAAAATAATTTTTACAATAAATATATCTAAAGGCCATTTTTCTCTTTCCTTTTTTTAATACTGTCAACAGTATATTTGAGTTATGGAGTGATACAGAGTTATCCGCACTTCCCTCTTTAAAAACGTTTGACTTTTTGACTGAACAAGAATGTGTTGAACCTGGTTTTATCTATAAGATAATGGGGATGTATGCAAACAAGCCATATATTGAATTAATTATCCATATATTGAAGAAATACATTACAGAACATTTTGATACAAATAATCTTTGCCTTAATATAAGTGATCAACTTAGTAAGTTTCATTGTGATATATATACATTCAAATATCTTCCCTGATTACCTGTAGTGTATCCCTTTTTAAATTAAATGTTCCTAAAAGTTATTTGTTAATGCTGTGAGATTCTGATGATCAAGCAAGAGGTTATGACTCATATTTATAATCCCCATATTTCTAATAATATTATACTGTAGCATTATATTCTATAAAACACCTTTTTGTTATTTTATCTTATATAAAACACACATTTAATGCGCATTACAGGCATTATGTATTGCTCTCTCTCTCTCAGGTCACACACTAACCGGTATTTTTCTCTCAGTGGAAAGAGTTCCTGCTGTTTGCCGGGCTGCTGCTGGGCGTCTGCATCATCTTCTCCGTCATGGCGAACTTCTACACCTACGTCAACCCCGATCAGCTGGACAAGACTCGCATGGAGGACTCAGGGAGGGAGGAAGATGACGATGACGAGGACCACGTGAAGAATAAGTTTAATGACGTAAAGCTGAACAAAAGAGGAAAGAGCACCAGATTGTAACGGTGCTGCTTTACAAACTCCAACTTTTATCTGTAGCTGATTTCAAAACGATGGATGATTTATGTGAACGTTTTTATCTGTTATATATTTTTATTTTAAGTTACTTTTTTGTGTGGTAATGAACATGTGATCAGTGGACATTTCTTGTGTTTAGAAGTAATGTATTTGTTTGACACAACATATAAAATATTGTGTCAAAGGTTTTTTAACATCCAGTCACTTAAAAATGTTTAACAGAAAAGTATTTTCATGAAATAGTGTTTTAAGGAGAAGTCCTGTGTGATTTCCCGCACCGTGATCAATAGTGTTATTATAAATTAATGTCAAATATTATGTTTATATTTGTTGCGTATCGCTCCATGAAGCTAAATAATAATAATGTTCTTTAACAGAGGTTCAGTTTACATTGTGTGTTTGTAGCAATGATATTTAAAGGACCATTGCATCTGGTGGTTGTGCATGTTTAGAGGCCTTTCATTTCAAATGCAGTCAGTAACCTTAGTGTCGATGTGTCTCTTGCCGCCATAGAAGTCAGAAACAATCTTAAATCATGATTATATTTAACTTTAATGCGTCAAAATCATCATACATTTTCCTTTTGCCTCTATCACTGATTAGATTTTCTGAAACAAAGCTCATCAGTGCCAAATATGAGATTTGACAGCATCTTTTTAACACATTAAGGAAGTTCCTAGCTACTTGCTACTAACACATTACAATATTTATCATTAAAAAAACATGCAAAACCAACAGTATTGTCCTTAGAAAGACAAAAAAACATGTGATTTAGTTTTTGTTTTACTCTGGGAATTGTTCATTTTGCTGCTCCCTATACAAATCTGTAAATATAATGTGATGCTAAAGCTTTCTTTGCCTTTTGAAATGTTGAAGATTAACATGTGCATTGTACATTTGAATACAATTTTGTACTGCAAGAAATAACCGTCTCATATTATTTGTGTTTCACTGAATATTGGAAACACAATGCATTATCACTCTCGTACATGTGCATCCTTTCTCTCTGAGATGTGAGACCTGTGTGTGTATTCAAAACATCCTTACACAGCTTTCATCAATCATAAAACCATTACGATCATCCTTCTGTCGCTGTTCAATGTCAATTTTCATTAGAAAGTGACAGGAAAACATTATGCCGAAAACAGATGTTCATATCTTGGCAATATTCAATCGAATGATGTGGTTTTATTAGCATACTAAATTGATTCAAGTGGCCATTTCTCTTGCTTTAGTAGAACCAATGCAAATGCTAAAACGGGATTAGTTTGTGCAGGACAACAACACCAGGAAGTGATCTGGCGTCCCTCTTCACATCAAGATCAGTTTGTCTGTGACATTTCACATCCGGAGGTTAATCTCAAGGACCTTGACAGATGAGAGGAGAATCACTCTCCCTCTTCGCTCACCTTTTTTTCTCACACCAGAGCATTAGCTACCGGAAGCTAGGAGGATGACATTTTGCAGCCAGCCACAGATCTTTCCGTTTTTTCACAGCTTTCCACCCTGCAACTCCAGTGAGGCTTCCATAGAAGAAAAAAACAGCCTTATCACGAAATAGGCACATATAATACAAATAATAACAATCATTTTTAGGGAACCTTTCAAAACACGAATAAATAAAATATTAGTGGCATTACAAAACTAAAATGTGTTGCGTATGAAACCACAGAGGAAAATTACAGTCAAAGGAGTAAGTAAAGCCAGTTTGAACACATTAGTTTATTGGCTTGATTTGAAATAACCCAGTGTCAGACTTTCTGACTATCATATATTTTACATCATTATATATAATACTTGTTGTATTTTTTTATTATTTTTTATTCGTGGTTGTAAAGTATCAGACACTGAACAAGAAAGAAGGTTTTATGTATAGCACTATACTGACAAATGGTATTTTATCCTTTCATTATCTGTTCTGAACTTCTGTAGGAAGGAGGAATATCAACCGAGTAGGTACAGCGTCCGTGACGTCATTTTGGCCCAAACAATACTTTTCCCGTTGACTTACACTGGGAAAAGGCCGTCTGTAAATCAGTGTATCGTTTATTTTTAGCTTAAAATCTACCCAGCAAGAACAGTTTTATAGACCTTATTTAAATCATTAGGGTCGCAATATTTGCAATATTAGGGTCTCAATATTCGCATCGCGTCTGGTGTGAACGCAGCATTAGAGTTTAAAATGTTGTTAAAGCAACTCATCAAAGTGCCTGAAAAGACAAGATCAGGGAGAAAAACTTAAAACGATCCTGATTGGCTCCCATCTTCTATCACATGACTCACAGCGCATGCGCCGATCTACGGGGCGGTTTTATGTTTGGATTTGAAATCAGCCGTGTTTTCCACCGTTAATTTGAATGATCTAATTTCGTAGTGTGATCAAATATTAATACATTTTCGATATCTAATCACGAACATGTGTTGGAGGCGAAGTCTACGGCTGGTTTACGTTTGATAACGGTACGTTTTGTCCACATTTTCTACTTAGCGAATAGCTACTTAGCTGGGTTAGCATAGCATAAATATCATTCAAATCACGTACAAATAGATAACCTCAACGTAACGTCAGCAAACGTTAGAGAACAACAACATATTTCTCAGTTATGCTCCGCAAAAAGTTCTCAGAGTTGGATTTTCCTCAAAGTTACGATTGCGTTGTGTTCAGATTGAAAGATACTGTTGTGTTCAGATTGAAAGATACTGTTGTGTTCAGATTGAAAGATACTGTTGTGTTCAGATTGAAAGATACTGTTGTGTTGATGTCAATGAACGTTAAACAGCTGTTAATGTGCGGCTTAGGGGAGACGAGAGGAGACGGTTGTGATGACACTCATACTGTAGGAGCTCAGTAAGAAAGCCACCTTTTACATGTGCTGCTGCATTTATTGAATAATGTAGTTTTGGAGGTATACAAGTATGTTATTCGTGAATTGTAATGTGTGATACTGTCCTCCTGACTGTTGATCCAAACTCACTTTGTTTGAATACTTAATTTGTTGACTTTTCAGTTAAATGAAAAGCATGTGTTAAAATGTGTGTAGCTAGAACATGGTGTTATGTCAAGGCTAGATAGACCATACATAAAAAAGTAGAAAAACAAGTTATTTTGCAGAGATTTAAAGGTTATTCAAACCAAATACAAATTGATATTCCTTTTTTGAAGATGCAGAAGTTATAGTGAGGTAAATAATCAGGATAGTTCACCCAAAACCCAAGGTCGCAGTCAGTTATAGAATAGTTGCAGGTTTGTACAATAAATAATGCAATTGTATTATTCTATAAATAAATACAACTATAATATTATTCTAAAACAATACATGTTTGAAGAATACTATACTCATTGAGACAAAAAGTGAAAATTAAATAGTGAAGTATAGAGTATTTTAAATATGTTGCAATCGTCCCTGATGCAAATGTCCCCAGGTTGGGTCAGTCGCAACATATGGACAATATATCATAATATATTTATCTTTAAATGCTATTGGTAATTAGCATAAGTTGGTCTAGACCAAATAGTCTCTGAGTAACTAAGAGAAATGCAAAAAGTGTTGCATCTCTCCCCTACTTAATCCTACAAAAATCCACCATCAAACCAACATTATTAACATTACATGCTACTGTGTGCTGAACCATCATGAACATAAGCTAACAATTGTTTTGCCTTTCAGGTTATTTATTTCACTCGGACATCTGTACATTTGATATAGTGATGTTGCCTATGAGGACAATGGCCTCTTTAAAGCCGTCCAAGCTGACTTCAGCTACTGTTACGGCATCAAAGATCAAACACAAGATCCTCAGTGAGTCTGTCTTTCATTTTATACACATTAACATTTGTATACTACAAGTTTTATATCATTTTTTTCTCGAAAGGAAGTAAATATTTTGAATTAATATTGTGATGCTTCGTCCCCAGACACCTCCTCGTTCTTCAAGATCTCTTTGAAGACCAACAACAAGGCCTTAGCTGTTGCTTTGGAGGTCCAGAAGGAGAGGAGCCGGGAGCTGGAGATGGACATTGTGCACTATCAGAAACAGGTGGAGGCACTCTGCTTCGAGCTGGCCACCAAGAAATACAAGCAAAGGAAACTGGTTGGTTTAATTGCCTTAAATAAATATCAAAATCAAGGCCTTTTGGGCAGGTGGCAATAACTTCTTGCCATACAATTAGTCATAATAATGCAGCGACGGTCTCCTAAGTTTTCTGTTTGATATGATGATTGATTATATGGACTGTGATTCATCTTGGTTTTTGTCTTCCAGCTCCTCATCTTGGACACCCTCCGTAGCAACACTCTGGAGCACTTGGACATGGTGGATGAGCTGTTTTCTGATGGCGTAAGGATTCCTCTGAATAAGTTTAATAAAACAGCTGTGTTGTCTGCCAGTGATGAGTACAATATTTATCTCCTATAACTATGGCAGGCAGGACACACGTTTTTTTTGCAGTGTGTTGTTTTAAACCAACTGGATATCTTTTTAGTCAGGCACAGACATGGCGCTTGATTTTCCTTTTGCTTATTTTCATTGGTCATATTTTGGCATGGATTTTTAAAAGTCAAACTGCTATCTAACATAATTCTTACAATGATAAGATTGAACTTTAGACTTGATAATCCCTGCAAATGTCAAACTTTACCACTCACAATCTTTGATTGTTACTGTATTTTAGGATAAAGTTGCTGAGGACAACAAGACCTTATCTTGTGGCATCAACAACGAGAATCTTTTAGTGGAAAGGTGAGCAAATGCAGTATTCAGATTAGTAAATACTTTGAAATAAATGTTTTTTTAAGGTGGCTTTGAATGACATCTGCTATTTCTTTCTCTTTATCTCGCTCTCCACCCCCCTAACCCCAATTTTTAGTCCAACAGATGAGCAGCCACCTCAGCCAGAAATGGCACAGCCTATGTTGTGTCCCTTCCAAAAAGAACCAGCAGATTTACCCGAAAAGAAACCCATTTCAAACGTCGCTAATATCCTGAACAGACCCAGAAAGTCCACAGATGCTTTCAATGGTACGGAGCTTAAGATTTTGTGTTGTTTCTGATTTCAAATCACCATTGAATGCACTGATGAAAATTCCCTGGAAATAAGTAATTTATACATTTTTCACAACTTATTTTCCATAGATATAAGAGATCCAGAGAAAAGGCGTTCAAGCCTGCTTGTACAGATTCCCCAGAGAGGAAAATCCCATCCGTCCAGCAGCCTGTGGGAAGAAGTAGAGAGTCTGTCAATCATGTTCTCACAACCTGGGATTGATATGAAGTCAATCCCCTGTTTACAAAAAACCCAACCCCCCTCAGCTGTAAGCACATGTGAAAAACCCAACCCATCTCTTCCTGATGACGTTCCCCTTGAACAAGATTCCAAACAAGAGAAGACTGTGCTTCTGAATACATCAATGGAAATTACAGTGAGTGATTCTGCAGAGATAGTTGTTGTGGAAACCAAGGCTAAGAGAAAAGCCCGCTCTGTAAAGCCAAAAGCCAAGAAGGATAAGGAACAAGCCTTTGTGTCAAGTGTGGCGGAAAATCCACAAGTGAAGATCTCAGCAGATTTGAAGCGGAGTGAAGTTCAGAGTTCTCCCACTGGGACTTTGTTACAGACAGAAGGCCCTGCACTACATGATGTAATAGAACCAGATAATATTGAGCTACCGTTACCCAAAACACTGGGTGGGAGTGGCAATACCTCGCGCATTCCCAGACTGAACAAATTTGAACCTGGAAACCATAAGAAAATGGTAAAGGACAAACAGAAATCCCGTGACCATGAGTCAAAAACAGATTCAAATGGAATTGGCGTATCGGATCTGGATGATTATTTCACAGATCCTGATTTTGAAAACTCAAAAGCCTGCAAAAGTGTACCAGAAAAGGAAACCGCTGAAATAGAAAGAAGGTCCAGAGTCACATGCAGGACGTCTAGGGTTAAAAGCAGGAGCGGCTCCTCGGCCAACAGGAAAACATTTGTGGCTTTTCCTCTTCTACCGTGTGAAAGTGAGAGCGAGAGCAATCAGTCCACATTGCAACAGGCTCACATAGAAGTTGAAGAAGAAGAACGTCATGGAAAATATGAAGCATGCAACGAGCAAGAACCACCTGAGCAGTTCCCGTTTTGTGCAGATGAAGTCACCCAATCAGAGTTCTCTGAACCGCAGTGCAAAATAAGGAGAATAACTCAGCGAGTGAAATGCAGAGGGACATTCGTGGTCTCAGTGGCCAGGGAAAGCATCTTCTCTATCGGAGTGTCACCAGAAGTCAGTGCCCTAGAGCAGGACTTAATGCCTTCTACTGAAACCTCCACTTGTGGGACGGAAGAACCGGCAACAGTCATGGATGCCGGCGTTGATCTAAATAATTCAGAATCAAACCAGCACCGCGAAGAAGACCTTATCAAGGAAACGCCAAGCTCCTGTAAGCATCCATGGCGGGCCACTATGGACAGAGAAGCCCTTCAAGAGGATTTCAGTTGCAATGATGACCTCGAGGTACTGGCGCTGGACCAAGAGCGTACTTCAGCATCAGAGGTTCAGATATCTAAAAAAGCCAGGAGAGAGGGAAAGAGTAAATCTACTAAGAAGAAAGTTCAAAGGGAAAAGCGTGTAGATAATTTAAGTAAAAGAAAGAAGAAAGACAAAAGAATTAGCTTTCAAAATGAAGTGTGTTATCTTGAGGACGGCGGGGATGCCTCACATCACCGTGGCGTTGAAGAAGAAGAAGAACGTCATGGAAAATATGAAGCATGCAACGAGCAAGAACCACCTGAGCAGTTCCCGTTTTGTGCAGATGAAGTCACCCAATCAGAGTTCTCTGAACCGCAGTGCAAAATAAAGAGAATAACTCAGCGAGTGAAATGCAGAGGGACATTCGTGGTCTCAGTGGCCAGGGAAAGCATCTTCTCTATCGGAGTGTCACCAGAAGTCAGTGCCCTAGAGCAGGACTTAATGCCTTCTACTGAAACCTCCACTTGTGGGACGGAAGAACCGGCAACAGTCATGGATGCCGGCGTTGATCTAAATAATTCAGAATCGAACCAGCACCGCGAAGGAGACCTTATCAAGGAAACGCCAAGCTCCTGTAAGCATCCATGGCGGGCCACTATGGACAGAGAAGCCCTTCAAGAGGATTTCAGTTGCAATGATGACCTCGAGGTACTGGCGCTGGACCAAGAGCGTACTTCAGCATCAGAGGTTCAGATATCTAAAAAAGCCAGGAGAGAGGGAAAGAGTAAATCTACTAAGAAGAAAGTTCAAAGGGAAAAGCGTGTAGATAATTTAAGTAAAAGAAAGAAGAAAGACAAAAGAATTAGCTTTCAAAATGAAGTGTGTTATCTTGAGGACGGCGGGGATGCCTCACATCACCGTGGCGATGGCGTTCCTGAGAGAAACGAGGAACAACTAGACGATTTACAAATGGCAGACTTGCATTCTCACATAAACGAGTCAGATGACAGCTTTGGCGATTTATTTGATTCAAAACCAAGCGAGTCAAAGTTCGGGATGGCACGGAATCCTAAGTGGTGTAGAAGGACATCCACGGCGGCACACACATCCACAGGAGGCAGAAAGCCACAGGAGACAATGATCGTCTACAGGCGGAAAACTCAAGACATTGTTACATTAAAGAACAAGAGGACCACTCATGTGTTAAACAATCTGGACACCAGGGAGGAGGCGGTTCGTCAGGATGTGGGAAACCTGCTGATGGACGAGATGCCGCCATGGATGGACGTAAATGTCCTTGATGACACCGAGATCGACTCTTTACTGGCTACTCCCAGGAGGAAGACATCTGTCCGAGCGGCCAAAGAGTCCCCTGCCGTCACAGCTAAACCCTCTCTAGGTAACCATTGTTTTCTCTCTTTGTTGTGTGCTCAAATTGTTTTTATCTAGTGTAGTAAAGAAGTTAAATGACATTGATTGGTCGTACAATTGCAACCTGTTCAACATCAACACCGTTATGGATGTAAAGATGTATTGAGTGTAAACGATTGCGAGAACATGGTTATTAGTAATAGATGGATAGATACTTTATTCAGCTCAAATTGGGAAATTCTGGGAAATTCAGGCATTGACATATTTAAAAGGTGGAATACAGTACAAACGTAATACCATTTTTAACACGTGTATTTCGGTTTATTAAGGCATTCATTTTATTATTCTACAGTATTGTTGTTTTATAGTTATTTGTTAATGTAACCCAATTTATGTTCTTTGAAATTGAAAAGGGTATTGTGTTTGTTACTTTTGTTGCAGTTGTATATGTCTTAAGTGTAATTTGGCTTGGCTTCCTATTTTGTATGGACAATGCTTTTATTATGAAGGCGAGTTAGCGCTGTTGACAGGAAGTTGTTCTCGCTATGGAAACAACGTGACGGCGAAAAGTAATATCTACATATAAAGACGGAGAAAGTAAACGATAAAGTTTATGGTTAAGTGTTGGCACCCCCTGAAGAGGCACAAGCTCTTAAGTTGATATTGGAGATTTCAATAAATTCAATTTGGCAGCTGCAGTGCAGCGCGGCTGCCAAAAAAAAAGAATATCCGAATAACGAAATTGAAAACCGAATAGTGGCCCAACAACCGAATATTCGGGTACGGCCCTCGAATCAACCAGGATTAAAAGGATGGTGTTAAATCAGTGGGCTTTTATCCATTAAGTCAATGTATTACTTACTCTACATCGTATGAGGATAAAAGCAATATGTTCTGTGAGCATCAGAAAAACGTATTTTATACCCACCCTCAGAAGTACATTGCTTTGACTTTATGCTGTTTCTGACATCTCCTGCACTGACCGTAGAAGTGTATAGAAGTTCCTCACACAACCCCACTTCAAAAAATGTACATAAAGATGGGGTAGGTAACTTCAGAAACACTTTGTTATATTCCATGGAATGCTCTTAACATCCCAATAGCAATGAATACATTAAATGCTTTGACAATAAATACATTAAAAAATATCATCTGGAAGCCGTGAATCATCTGAGCCGGCCCGGCTAAAGTAACTGGATGGCCTACCTGCCTGTCAGCTTTCCATCTGTGCACAAACTTATCTCGTGCCCTCATTGGTCATGTGCGCGCTCGTGTGTGTTGGAGGAGGGGCTCTGTAAGGAAGTCTGAAGGAAGAGGCAGATTTTTTTCGGCTGCATACTTTCAAATTCTAGCGCACTCGAGCTGGTTTCTCCATTCTTACCTAGCCTACCTTTAAGATTCAATTTTGTTCCATTTTTTTAAAAGGCAACTTAACTGTGATTTATTGTGCTGCAGCAGGGGGCGTCTTAACGTCACTAACCAACACCATTGCCACCCCAGAGCATGAAAATGGAGGAAGGAGCCGGAGAGGGAAAGGTGTAGTCAACTACAAGGAGCCGACCATTAACGGGTGAGGAGCCTCCACCCGTCGAGAAGAATCAGCGTAAATGAAACCAGAAAAACAGCAGCCAGTAATCATGTGTATTTCTTTCTTCTTTCAACAGTAAAATAAGGCGTGGCGACAAATTCACAGACTGCAAGTTTCTGAGTTCCCCTGTGTTCAAGGAGGAGAAGAAGAAGAAGAAGAAGAAGAAGACCACCAAACCCAAGTTGGAGAAATCTGTTTTGCTGGTGGACTGATTCTACTCTTTAATTATTTTTTTTGCCTTGTTTACATTTTTAATTGTTGTTTTTTTATTCAGCTTAATAAAGACTTTATTTATTGCTTGAAACCATATGTTGTAGATTAGACTGGACAAACGTGTGATCTGTGTGAAAATATTAAATGTAAACACTTACTTCCATCAGTGGTGTAATTTTTTTAATTTAATCGTTTATTTGGCAGGGACTATGCACAGTAATGAACACTTAAAACATTTACATGTGTCAAGCGTAACAGTGCCAGATTTAGCTTTGAGCTCATTTCCACCCGCAGTCCCTCACATAAAACATTTAAGAAGTTTACATTTGACAAACATAGCAAAAACTAAATACATGATATGCAAAAAAACAAGAGCAGCACACACAAGTATTTATGACCAGTGGCGACTGGTCATTAGGGGCACAGCCCCACCTAGTGTCAGCAGAAAGTATTAAAAATAATGATTACAAAAAAATGCAAAAAAATATATTAAATATATTTTAAGATCATGTTTAATCATCTGATTCGTCTGTACATTGCTGTTTTAGTCTGTGTTCTGCTAATTAGTGTCTACAGTGTGTGCCTAGTTATATGATGAATTGGAAATGGGGGACCCTGATGTAAACAAGACGAAAGTCTTTCTCTGGTCTGCATCCCCTTAACAATTGTATGTTTTGAGCTGTACTGTACCCAATATACAAGCTGTTAATAAACTTTTCAATCAATCAATCAAGCCTATTGAGCTGTTTAGAGCCATGTGGGACAAAACCCGATCCTGCCCTTCCCTCTTACTGTCTAAGTCAATGGTGACTGTAAACACTACACTGCGCATGCTCAGAATATTTTCCTATTTAATGTGTGTGGCAAAGAAATAATGACCATAGGGGCATAGTGCTGCCATCCCCACCATACGTCATCTCACATCATTCAGAGCTGATTGGCTGTAAGTACGTGTGCCGCGAAAAGTGTGGTGTGTGAAGAGGAGACGAGAGAGCTGCAGTGACGCGTCCTAAAACCCGGAAGTAAGCTTCCCTCGACAAAAAAAGCAATGAGATTTCTCCATAGGATTTTAGAAAATAGCTCCAAATAAGATCTGTGGGAAACAAACCTGTTAGATAAATGCACGTTTTGTTCAGCCGGATAATATAGACTTTTAAAACTACAAGAACATAAGGAGGACTTTTACAAAAAAGTAATAGAGATTTTTGTCCAGAAGGATCGGCAAATGGACTTAATCTTCAAGTCAAGTTAAGACTGCAATTTTATTGAAAATGGGATCTTACTGAGAGAACAATTCAATATTTAAATGATAAAATTAAAATGTGGGTATCCTTCTGTTGAACTGTCTGTTTAAAATGAATTGAAGCATCAGACAAAAAAAGCTTTTGAAAATATTATTATATTTTGATTTAGGTTAAAATATAATATTTGTAAACCTGAAGAGTCAGTGCCAGTGCCTCACCAGCCATGAACCTCACTGCAGAAGCTTATAGACATCTGAGTTTTTTGTGCCCCACCACTTTTGTACATATAAAAACGCCACTGTTTATGACATGGTAATACAATATAGCAGCAACGACATATAAAGTGCAAGAGAAGATACAAGAGCTACCTAAAGTGCGAGAGGAGATACCCCTGTATTGTAGTGCATTTAGCGGTGATGGCACGTCTGTTCATTTCTCAACCATTCTTTGAGTTGACCTTTAAAGCAATTGAGAGTGGGACAATCCCGTGTCTCAGTTGGGAGGCTATTCCACAATGAGCTGCCGTAAGAAGGACTCAGATCCTGTACGCAAGTAAAAGTAACAATACTACATTTCAAAAGTAGTTTTTTACGCGGAAAAGTCAAGCGTTTTATCAAAGTAAAAGTACAAAAGTATTAGCATCAGGACATACTTTTATATTCCATATGTCATATATTTTTGAATATATATATTTGTATATATAATATCTACATGTATATTTTCTATTTCAACATGTATATTTTTTATTTTATTTCTATTCTTGTTTATTTACAGTTTTATTGTAAAAATGCCTTGTCTTTTATGCTGCTGCAACAAAAACAATTTCCCAAATTGGGATCAATAAAGTACCATCTTATCTTATCTCATCTTAAAGCACCAAAAGTCAAAGTACTCCTCATGCTTAATGGCCCATTTCAGAATCAGTAGAGTTACTGCGTTACTATATGTTTTTATCACAACCGGTAAAGGTGGATCTAATTTGAATAACTTTATATACGGCAGCTGGATATATTAACCTAAACATATATGTAAACATGTATTTAATAATTAATTTAGACTTTGTGTTAGCTAATAATCTAAACCTAAAATGTAATTCAAGCTGTAAAATAAATGTAATGGAGTAAAAAGTATGATATTGGCTTCTAAAATGTAGTAGAGTAGGAGTAGCATAAATAACTGAGAATACTCAGTGAAAGTACCTCAAATTTGTACTTAAAGGTCACCTATCATGCTATTTTTAGGCAATAGCATAGGTCTCAGATATATCAAAAATATATAAAAAACATGTCTATGAAGTGTTTTGCTCAAAATACCAAACAGATCACCCATTCTATCCATGCCTCATATCCCTCTATTTCACTTCCTGTTTCAAAAGTGCTGATTTTGGGGAAAAGCTTTAAAAAAGAAAAGAAAATGATAAAAATAAAAATAAAAAAGGAGGCGGCTGAGCTCATGCGGGACCCGGCAGCATGGATGTATAAATCGGCCACTAACGGCTCGACTGTGACGTCAGAGTCTAATCCCGCCTGCTCCAAATAAGGGCAAAGAGGCGGGACCTGCTGCCTCCGAACTGGAAGTAAACAGAGCTAGCTCAGGCTAAGAAGCTAAGCTAACATGAAATACATGCATACCAAGTTACTGCTAACAGTGTAGTTCCCCTATATAAACGTTACATTCATAATCAAATGAGACAATCTGCAAGAGAATTAGCTATATTTTGTTATTCTTAATGCTTGTCATTCACACGTTGAGAAAAGACGGACTCCACCGCCCGGTCCTAACAGAGCCGCAGTGGGCTAGCTCCGGGACGCCGGCTGGAGCTAGCCCCCTGCGGCTCCGTTAGCTCCGGCGGCCACCACTGGGATAATTGGGTCCCCTATTAACATTTGCTCCCGTTTAGCATTATGGGCGTCATAGCCATAGACTATAAAAGTCTTACCCAAGGCTGAATCATAAACTAAAATGTATATGTATGCATAAAGGGTTACGTCCTTAGCTGGCTAATAAGTAACAAGCTAAGCTACCAAGCACACAAACACCTGCGAACGGGGTTAACATGTATAATATTATCATTTTAGACTTCTTGGAAGTTCTGTTAGTACATTCAAGCGCACAGCACGACATTTTAATTGTCTGGTATTTGTAACAATATTCCCTAAAAGGCACAATCACCATGAACCAGTGGCGGTTCTAGAATATTTTACATGGGGGGGCAAAGGGGAGGCAAGAGGTCATGCCAGGGTGGCATAGGAGGACGGACAGTACGTGGTATTTTATACTGTATATAACCTATTTATTGTTAATTCATGCCCTAACACAAGTGTTCTTAATGCACAAGAGAAACAAGGTGTTCAGACAAACAATCGGGTGCCCTTTGAGTCCCCCAAGCTTACCTCAACCATTTTAAATGAAAGGAAACTACAACATGTATTTTAAAGCAATGAATTAATGGAACAGGTTGTTTTGCATTACAATGTAAAATTAAATATATACTTTTGTCTTAGACAGACATATTTGCATGTCCTCACTAAGCATTATTACATACTAATTTAATATTAAACAAATCAAAATGGCCAATTATCGCAAAATGTTGCTGCTAATATAATCACATGCTTGTCAACTTTAACTCATCAAAAATCAATTCTGAAAAAATACTTGAATTATCTATGAAATTGCAATATTGTCCCTCAGTTTGTTTCAACCCCGTCACGCCATATCATTTACCCTCCTATTAAAATAATGGATCAGTCCATGTGTGATCTGCATGGAATTACATCACAAAAGTGTCAGTTTCTTCTCTTACCTATATTTCAGTTTTTGTATTTTCAGATTAAGATTGACAAGCTCAACAATTCAACTATGTTGTATGAATTAATAATAGTAAATAATTGTTTATCACAAAAATAAACAATAGTTTTGCAAAATATTACAATGTTGTAATGTCCTTGACTTCCATGTGGTGCCATATCTTAGCTAAACAAGGTCTCATGCCTACTTTTTGTCAAAAACTTCAACCCTGTTACATTTTTTCAAGGAAATTCCTAGTAATTATTTATATTTTGTGCCTGAGGTGGGAACATGTAAGTAGTCCACTACCAGATGTTATGACCAAACATTTTGGTTTCATTTTTCAAAGATATAAAGACCCAAAAGGCACCCGATTCAGAGAATACTCAGAATTCTGCATACTGTATGTACTTAATTATAATTAAGTACACAAATGACATCACCCATCTCTTCAGAGAGCTACAGGTGACCTGTGCAGCAACACATTTCAATCAATATTTGTCAATACTAAGAGCTGCTAGATTGTGCTGCTGTAATGGAATATGTAAGGAGAATAAGAACATACCATGTGGTCCAGCTGGAGTTTCATCTGCCTCCTGATCCCTGCCTCTGGCCCTCTTTCTGATACTTCATCTTTATTCCTCACATATATTTCTTCTTCTTCACTAATGTCTTCATCTCCTCCTCTTCCTCCTGCTCTGACCCTCCTGGTCTCTTCAGCTCTCTTTTCCTTTTCCTCTTTCTGTTCGTCCTGATCACTTCTCATATGTCTTTTTGTTGTTGTTGAATCACTCCTATACTCTGGCCTGTAAGAGTCTACTTGTGAAAAGCACTGGTACAAATGCTTGTATAACTTTACACGTTAGGGCCATGTAGCCTAGCTAATATGTAGCATATTGTAGTGCCAGGATATCATAAATATAACATCAGAAAGTATTGATCAAGCGCACACAGGCAGCTGTGTTTGGATCCAGTTTTTACGGTAAAGGATGTATCCTGGTTTCATTGATCTGGCCTCATGGCTGTGATGTGTAGTTTACGTGGATTTAATAGTAGGCTACCGCGTAGTTTAGCAAAGTGATCGATCTCCCAGCTAACGCTGTCTGCGTAGTATTGTGTAACGTAACGCCCCAAACAGCGCCCGTCTGTTAAACGCTATCGATTCAAACGGCAGCGTTTTATTAATATTTAGTTTCAAGCTCTCGTCCTTAGTAAAACAAAACTAGTGGAAAGGGAAATGCTCCCAGGGGAAGCTGATCCATAGGTGCTGGGACAGCTCGCTCCCTCTCTGCAGCGGTGTGAGCCGCGGTCTGTGTGAACGCCGCTCCGCAGTTTAATGCAGGGCCGTAGCTGCGTTTTTAACGGGCCTAAAATGATATTTAAAATGATTCAATTTTAACTAATGTAATGCTTGTTTTGTTGCTTGAGAAGCTTGTGGAAATAGTGTAAGTTTGTTTTAGTACAGTTTTAGGGAAACAAAAGTTAGGGGGGCAGCTGGGGGGGCAAGGCTCTACAGTGGGGGGGGGGGGGGGGGGGGGGGGGGGGGGGGGGGGGGGGGGGGGGGCAGCTGCCCCCTTGCCCCCCGTAGATCCGCCCCTGCCATGAACACGGCTAAAGCTAAAGGGTCAAGTACAGTATTATGACTAACTAACGTTGTAGCCTCTATGGTTGTAGCCTAGCAGAATGGACAAGTTGCTGTTAGCTGACAGTGAGGCATGTACTGTACGTGTCCATCAACGTGACCACGCCCTAATTTATGCAAACACTTTAAGACCTAATATAAATAAAAGGGTCGTGTTAGAAAACAATTCACTCACAGATTCATAATCATGAAGGTGGAATCTAACTATCGATAATAATATTTATTGCATCCATGGGTAGAAACATGTTTTTTTCTGCTGTAAAGTTGTGCATTTTAACATGGGGGTCTATGGAAATTGCTCCTTTCTGCAGCCAGTCCCTAGCGGCCCATGTATGAACTGCAGTGTGTGGCACTTCCGTATTGGCTTCCCGGCTGTTCCCCAGAGTTTGCCGCTTGGTCTAATCTAAATACTGCCGTGATGAAACGCCATATCATGGATTATCAAGGATTATTTCTGAAACAGTATGGAGCTCAAAGGCTTTCTCTCTTGCCGGTTATACCACAAGGTGAGTTCCTTTTTATTTCCTGCTTCTTCACACACATGCTCTCCAGTACAGGTTAGCTCTGAGTGTTAGCGATGCTAATGTAAACACCGACCATATTACGTCCAAAACAGTCGGGCATTGTTTCTGATAGCAACGTTTCTGATTGGGCCGTGGGTCCACATTTCCGATATTACGTCAAATCGGACGCAAATCTGGATCAGCTCCGTTGTAGCCCCGTTTTTAGAGATGTGGGTACGGAGGAAAAGAGAGAGGCTTTTGTTTTCTGACGCTGCGTGAGTTCCCTGACACACCAGGGACACATGTTTATGTATAAAATACATCAAAAAGTGCATTTTGCATGATAGGTCCCCTTTAAGTAATACGCATGTACTGTGTTATTGTCCAGTGTGTTTCTGCTCATGGTTTTAGAGATTGACGGGGGGGTTGGTCATGAATTATTTACCCCCGGTTGTTCACCTGAGACGTCTGCTCCACCTCGCTGTAGAGGCTTGTGTTCCCGCAGAGCTTCACATATTCAGTTCAGCTCGACTGCAGCCCTCTGAGCACCATGTCGACTCATCATGTGAAGTGAAGGTCTTTTAATGGTGGATCAGAACTCTGTGGTGAGTACAGACGTCAACTTTTTTAAATAAATAAGTCAGTTATTGTCTTGTTTTTCTATGTGGTTTTGCACCGAAGAGATGCGTTCAATTTAAGTTGTTTGGTTTTTGCTATTGGACAGTTGTATTTGTTTGTCTCTCTGTGGGTCCAACAGGGTGTCAGGTTCTGACTGGAAGCAGCAAATTAACCTCTTAGGGTTAGGTTAATGTTATGTAGCACACACTTATAGACATTTCCTAAACATATAATACAATGTGCACTTACTGCAACCTGATAAAATAAAACCAAATAGTTATTTTTATATTGGGATTGATTAACTGTGTTTTTACGCAGTGTAAATAAATGTCCTTCTTGATATAGTAATACGATTTTAAAAGATCATTTAATATCTTGTAACATTACAGGGAATGTATTGAACTCTCTGTGTAAAGCCTCTAAGACAAAGCGTTTCTACTTTAAAATGTACCTAACTGTTAAAGTAGTTTTTCTTGATTTCAAGTTAGATTTGATATCCTGTTCGAATAAAGAAATGTCATTAGATCAGACAAGGCAAAGATGACATTCAATATGAATCATTATGTACAGATACTGGAAAAAGGATGTTTATATTCTTTAATAAATGTATCAGTTTTGGAAAAAAATACCCAACTGAAAGGTATTACGATATTTATAACAATGTAAATACAATAAACGCATTTTATAACGCTGGAAAAGTTATTACATTGTTGGCTGCTGCAAGCCCTTTTTGTCAGTAGAGTCTCATCAAATTAGAAATGAGGAAATGACTGCAAGTAAAACAATATTTAGAAGTCTTTCTGTTTTTTGAAGGAGACCTACTTGAAAGGAAACATGGAGACACGGCAGCTGAAAAGAGAAGTGGAGGCTCTCATGTGAGTGGATATCAAAAGCTCAGTGTTTGTTAAAAAAGACATTTTTGAAATGCCAAATAATTAATTTGTCCATATCCGAACAGTGGCGATTACATCGGGCAGAAACTCAGAGAAAAGTCATTTGATCCGAAAGGGAAGGGGACCTCCACGATGCTGGATGACCTGGTAAAGACATCACCTGTGACTCTGTTTAACTGCATCAGTTCATAGAAAACAGAAAGAAACTGATCATTCTGAAGTGCTTTGTATTTCATTTGCGTGATTCAGGCTCACTATGACCTGGCCATTACTGTTGCCCTGTGGTGGTTGGACAAAGAAGAGGGGCGGGATGTGCTCGACAGAGACATCATGTGAGCTGCTGGTGTATTCATAGTCTAAAGAAAGATTAAAAGGTGGTGCTGGAAGTACTTGGATCTCTAGCTGTAGTTAAAGTATAATACCACTACTCTGATACAAGTCAAATTCATGCATTCAAAATCTTACTTGAGTAGAAGGGGCAAAAGTGTTGGCAATGGAGCTGGATTTAACTACTCGATAAACCTAATCAGAATCTGCAAACTATAGATATCTTTCCTTTTGGTTTTGGATCTTTATCAGTTTGCCTAAAAAATACATCTGTGCTGCTAGGTGCCGCTAAGCAGTGTCAATATTTGTGTTCAAAATCTGAGACTTATTTTAAGTTTTAGTAAAAACAAAACAGCCAGATGTAAACAAGGCCTCCTGCTGCAGCTGTGGAAATACTCTGCTGTTCTTATTTTAGTTATTTATTTAAGTGAAACTCTCCTCTGTGCCACAGTGGAGCAACAAGCTGCTCAGGAAGCGCTCAGTACCCAAACCGCTTGGAGCGAGAGGCCATGATCCTGTCCTCCTTTGCTGGGATTATCATGGTGAGTTATACCTGAATGCAGCTTTTACGAAACCCTCATGTTCCAGTAAGGTCAGATACATTCACACTAGAGAAGCCCAAGGGGGGTATATGGGTCCTCATTACTCATCTCATTACTCCTCCGTGAGTTCATATCAACTTTCATGTATATATTTGTTATATGACGGTGCATTTATGATATTACGGAACAGGATACGATCAACATGAGACATTTTTTTTGGGGATGTGACCAAAAGTGATTACAAAAAAATTAGTTCTGATTTTAATCTCAGAATTTTGAGAAAATAGTCGGATTTATGAGAAAGAAATAAAATCAGACTTTCTGATTTTTTCTCAGATTTCTGACTTTAAGCATAAGGTTCAGAAATGCTTTGAGTAAATATAAGTATTTTACACAATTTTCAGATTAAAGTCTGTATTCTGAGCAAAGAGTCAGAATTCTGAGAAAATGTGGGGATTCAAATCAGAACATCTCTTAAAACTTTTGGTGGCATCCCACATTTTGTTTATCTTGTGGCCCTAATTCTTTTACGTATGATGTTAATACTGCATAGATTGGACATACCTTTTTTATTTGCTAGCTGCGTTAAACCTTTCCTGCTCTGTCCCGCTCCAGAACCACCTTCCCGTGGAGGAGATCCTGGCTCTGTACCGCTGCAAACCAGCAGCCTCATTCCCCAACCAGCACTCCAAGGTGAAAGCATCCTAACAATTCACACTTGTGTTTAGAAGAAACATATGTGTACTCATCTGTTTAGCATTATTTTGGTCATTTAGAAATGCTAGTTGTCTGATTTTCTTCCTAGGGCACACTGGTGTACCCCTTCACTCTGTCCTACCATCCGTTAGCCATGCTCGGATCTTACAAGGCTGTGTACCACTCCAAGAAACACAGTAAGTGTGACAGATAAACCGCAGTATATTCTTTAAGCCATTTTACATGATACATCTTTTCCATTCCTACAGCCAGGAAAGAAATGGGAAATAGAGCATTCATTTTTAGGGCACATTTCAGAATTGAAAAACAATCAATAACATAATTAGAATTTCCTGTTTGAATTGTGCATGTTTCAGATGATGATTTAAAAACCCTAACCTTAACACTGTGAAGAAACAACAAAGACAAACAAACAAAACAGTGTAATGGATCACTGAATACACCTCTAGCTTAAAGGTCACCTATCCTGCTATTTCTAGGCAATAGCACAGGTCTCAGATATATACAAATAAATGTCTATGAAGTGTTTTGCTCAAAATACCAAACAGATCACCCATTCTAGCCACGCCTCATATCCCTCTATTTCACTTCCTGTTTCTAAAGTGCTGATTTTGGGAAAAAGCTTTAAAATAAATAAAAATTGATAAAAATCAAAAAGGAGGGTCTGAGCTCATGTGGGACCCGGCAGCTACTGTCTAAACTAAATGCTGCCGTGATGAAACGCCATATCATGGATTATCAAGGATTCTCTCTGAAACAGTCTGGAGCTCAAAGGCTTTCTCTCTTGCCGGTTATACCACAAGGCGAGTTCCTTTTACTTCCTGCTTCTTCACACACATGCTCTCCAGTACAGGTTAGCTCTGAGTGTTAGCGATGCTAATGTAAACACCGACCATATTACGTCCAAAACAGTCGGGCATTGTTTCTGATAGCAACGTTTCTGATTGGGCCGTGGGTCCACATTTCAGATATTACGTCACATCGGACGCAAATCTGGATCAGCTCCGTTGTACCCCGTTTTTAGAGATTTGGGTACGGAGGAAAAGAGAGAGGGTTTTGTTTTCTGACGCTGCGTGAGTTCCCTGACGCACCGGGGACACATGTTTATGTAGAGAAGACATCAGAAAGTGCATTTTGCATCATAGGTGGGGGACCTATGTGGGGGATCAGTGTGGGGGATCAGTGTGGGGGATCAGTGTGGGGGGGCCACACTGATCTAAAAAATTGGTGTAACTTATTTTAAAATAAAATAAAATGTCTCATAGGTCAAAAGCTGAAACGATGGCTGTCTGAGAGGATGAAGACTAGAGTACCGTCCAAACGAGTGACAGCCCCCTCTTCCTCCTCTTCCTCCTCGTCTCATTCCTTCCTCACTGTGAGTATCCACAGCGTCCTCATTTGCTCATCTGATACAAATACAGAATATTTTAGATGAAGACTTGTGTATCACTGACCAATCAAATATGTAAACAGGAAGTACCTCCATAACTTTCAAGAAATACAGTATAATGAATATTTTAAATCATCAAAGGTCTCTACTGCCCCCCTGTGGACACACACACACACACACACACACACACACACACACACACACACACACACACACACTTCCTGTCCATCTAACACCTCTCCCCTCTCCTCAGGACATCAGTGATTGCCCTGAGGAGACAGCTGAGCACTACGAGGGATCAAAGGAGTCTCTGCACGACTGAACACTCCTGCTGTCGGTCTTTTACTTTATTTCTGATTTCCTCAGAGAAAAAAGTGTTAAAATACCTTCATTTCTCACCTCTGTTCTGTTGTCCTGGACTTTAGTGCTCTCTCCATACTGTCACTCTGAGAAAAACCCTTTTAAATATTGATTGATAAAATGTTTCAGCTTTAGAGGCTTTTACTCGTGATCATTAACATACATTTTCCTTATGATACCTTTTTACCTAATAAGGTTTTAAATGCACGACTTTTACTTGTTGTAGACTATTTTACCTTTATCATATTAATACTTGACTTACTCATACTTGAATGAATCAGAAGACTTGTTAGTTTAGCATAATAGGATCTTTTACATTTATGATATACTTGACTATACACTCATGCAACCTATTTTCTTTTATGTATGCAGACATTTGCAAACAAATACCTCACAAAACACCTTTAAACAGTATTTATTTGAAGTTGTGCTAGCTTGTGTCCATACTTCCTGTTTACATATTATATTGGACAGTGATACAGATGTCTCTCTAGGTTTATTAAGTCTTTGCATGCTAACACTTCTCAAGTTTTAATGGTGCACCCTAGAGAGTGATACCTTAGGAAATGAGGAAGATTTAAGGGGGATGTATCAACTGCTGCTGAAACCAATTCTCATGATTAAACAATGAATTATAGAAAAAGATACAGCTGGAAAATTACCACGTTATTACAGTCACTTTGGTAGCCTACATTTCTCACAGAAAAAGTCAATATAACTCAACTCATGCACTGACCTAAAGGCTGGATATTTTGGAGGGTTAATGCATTCAAGAGATCACCATGACATGAGCAATAACAGTCATTTAAGGCTGTGGCTAAGTGGAGGTGTGCTGGAGTTCAAATCAGGGGGTACCAAGTTTGAGTCCCACTGCAGTCAGCATGTCGTTGTGTCCCCTGGAAAGACACTTCACCCCAAATTGCTCCTGTGGGGATTGTCCACAGTACTGAATGTATGTAAGTCGCTTTGGATAAAAGCGTCTAACAAATGACATGTAATGTAATGTCATTTAGGAAACAGGAAATGTACATAATTGTTTGCGATTAGCTGAAAAACGAGAAAGTGATTTTATGATGTGCACTAATGACTTGACCATGTGGAAGTTGAACAAATAGTACAACATAATTTCAATACTGATGTCAGAAATGTAGCCAGGCATTTAAGAACAACTCAAATATTCACGTGTTCGAGACTTTCAGCTCCAATTGTTTGAAACTCCAGGAAAAGGTTACATGCTGTGTTGTTTTGTGATGACCTCTGCGTGGAAAGATTGATCCACTCGATGAAGGATTAGCAGATAAAACGTCTTTCTGATGTGCATATCAATAAAGAGGGCACGTGGGTCAGTAATCTGCCTGGTAGGACTTTTGCAGTGATGATTCAGGCGTTTTCGCTCTATGCCCAGGATCAGGACCTTTGGCAGCGATGCCAGCGCGTTAAACCCCCGCTCATTGAAATAACAGCTGCTCACCCTTTGATTGAGGTTTATATAGAGCGCTCTGCTGCTGCTTAGTGAGACCAACATTTCCCCTAGGTGACTGGCTCCAGGACTCTTTGCAAGATGAGTAGTAAGGTAAGGATTTATGGATGTATCAACCTGGTAATGTATCCAGGGCAATGCAGGACATTCTGGATATTAATGCAACCTCTAAAAAATGTCAAAGAAACTGTTGTCTAGCTATTTATATCATGATAGGTGCGAGAATAAGCTGCTTACTCACGCGTCAACCTTGCAGGTATGATGAGGATTTGGGTTTGAAACTAACTGTCAAAAACGCGAGACGGAAGAAGAGTTTTACCTCATCACTTAAAACTGTCTTTGACTTCTTTCAACAGGCTTTATGTTCAAACAATGTGCATGCAGGAACAAAAGGAAGCCAACATGATGTGTTAGGCTAAAATATATGTTGTTCAAACAGCAGGGAAGTGATTAATAGTGCAACAACTATATATTTAAAATGTAGTTATCTTCTTTTGCACCTATGATTAGGTGGGAAACTAAGTGGGCAATTAATGTGAAAAGACCCATACTATTAAATCACACAGACTTAAAACACTCTGATGCCTTTATTGGCTTTATGTTTGAGAACATGCATGCAGACAACACAAATATGCAAAAGACCTTCAATTAAAATGTTCTTGTTCATTCGGTCGGACGTGGATTAATACTGCAACAACTTTGTATTAAGAATTGTTTTGCATGAGATAATATATGTATTGTATTCCTGTTTCATAGATGTAGGCCTATGTGCACAATAGCTTAGTTTTGGGAATGGAAATCTTGGGTCCTATATAGGCTCCTCCAACAACATACAATTTACCGAACTTAAAAATCCATGTTGTCACTAAATGGTGCAATAAAATAGATTTGCAGGAATTGTGGACTGAGTGTGACCTCTCCCTGACGTCTCCCTGATTTCTCTCCTGGACTCAGATCACTTTTTACGAGGACAGGAACTTCCAGGGCCGCTCCCATGAGTGCGACACGGACTGCCCCGACATGCACCCCCACTTCAGCCGCTGCAACTCCATCAAGGTGGAGAGCGGCTGCTGGGTGCTGTACGAGAAGCCCAACTACACCGGGTACCAGTACGTCCTGACCCGGGGCGAGTACCCCGACTACCAGCGCTGGATGGGCTACAACGACACCATCCGCTCCTGCCGTACCTTCTCCTATGTGAGTAGAAATGTCCGCTTTATGTCATTTGTTTTAGTGTTTTGATCTGGTAGACAATGAAGAAGGGGAATGAATGGATGTTCCTTTGTGCAAAGAGTTTTCACACACCGTATTTTAAAGTGAATTCATCAAAGGATTCAAAGGCTTTATTGTCATACAGCTACACAACAGTTTTTGCATTGAAAATCAACAATATACATAACATAAAATTAAGAACATAAAATAGTGCAATAAACAACATGGTGTAATGCATATTATTTTTTGTCTGAGATCAACTTGTTATATGTATGTTCTTTAGTTTTTTTCATTGTTTAAAAAGTCCCTAGATGTGTGTCTTATTCTGTGTGCATAATGGAAATGATAATGAATCAATTGCAAATGAAGGTTTTTCGCTCCAAACAAAAGACTCCGGGACTAAACTAAATGGATGTAACTGGATTTTTTCCTTCTGTTATTCCTTTATTTAACAATAATGACAAATATGTAAAATGCACGAGCTACACTGAAAAAACCCAAAAACGTCTTCTTTAATTAAGACTTTAATGTTATGTCAACAAATCACACTTAATTGTATTAGGTTAGTTGAAAGCTTAAATAAGTTGAAATAAAAACATTAGGCTCAACTACAATAGTATTACTTGCAACTAACCGAATACAATTAAGTGGAATTTGTTGACAAAATACATTTAATTAAATTAATGTTCCAGTCTTTTCAGTGCACTTGATTAAATCTACTTAGTTACTTTACTCCACTGCCTGCACACTTCCTGTTTTTAACTTTGTGTTTTTACCTCCCTGTGTTTCCTCCAGACCAGCGAGGGCCCGTACCGGATGCGGATCTACGAGCGTCCCAACTTCCAGGGTCAGATGATGGAGTTCAGCGACGACTGCGAGTCGGTGCAGGAGAACTTCTGCAGCCGCGACATTTACTCCTGCAACGTGATGGAGGGCTACTGGACCCTCTACGAACACCCCAACTACCGCGGCCGGCAGTACTTCATGAGGCCCGGGGAGTACCGCAAGTTCAGCGACTGGGGGGCCACCTGCGCCACCACCGGGTCCTTCCGCAGAATCACAGAGTTTTGATGTAATAATATAATATATGCATACTATTGATTTTATTTACATCTCAAACAAATCCAACATCTATGGAAATGTCTTTGAACTGTGTGGTAAAATTAGGAGTGGGGTGTTTCATTTGGCTATGATAAAGAGATTGTTTTGAATAACTAAATAAATTAATCTATTATAAACTGTTTCCTGCTTTTGTTAATATATATTTTGGTGTCGAGTGACTGGCTTCTAAAAAGCCACTTTGGGTCATTAAACTAACAAAAAGAAATCCATCTTTTGAAGTACCAGTAGGCCTATATCTTATTTTGTTTTCAGTGACACTGACACTTTAGATACACATATTTACTCTCAACTTGTTGTTTATTAGCATGCATATAAGTAGTTTATTGGCTCTTTATTAGTTATTATAAAGCAAAAAGCAAGCGTATTAATGCCTGAACATGTTCTACAACTACTAGGTTCAAGGTTCAAGATTCTTTATTCATACGAACATAGCTACAGTTATGCCGATGAAAATCTTAGGTCACAGGCTTCTCCAACAGTGCTACACAATAACACAGATAAACAGAAATATAGTGCAAGTAAATAGTAATATAGTAAATACAAAAAGAAAAATAGTTTAAAAAGGTGGAATAGTGCAATAAGAGTCTATATGCAAGTTATTGGAATGATATATTAGATAAGTAGATAAATAATTCTAAGCAGCAGATAAATGTTATGGATGTTGTTTCAACAGTTCAGGTGTTTAACAGATGTTGTTTCAACAGTTGAAACTGTCCCTGAGTCTGGTGGTTTTAGTCCGGATGCCAGGCGGCAGCAGACAGAACAGTTTGTGGCTGGGGTGATGGGGGTCTTTTATAATCCTGAGGGATTTCCTCCTGAGCCGCTGGGAGTCAAGGTTCTCCATGGATGGCAGCTCCGTCCTGGTGATGTTCTGTGCAGTTTTCCCCACCCTCTGTAAAGCCTTGCGATTGAGGGCGGTACAGCTGCCGTACCAGGCCGTGATGCAGCCAGGATACTATGCCATAAACAAAGAGTTTTACTGCTTATTGACAGTAAATAAACACTTTGCTCAGATGGTGGCACAAGAAGAGATATTCTTCTTTAATAACACTTAATAAAAATGGTCTATTCTCATGCGCAAACAAATCCACCTTTCTGTATCCGAATATGTTGTAAAGTTAGTTCTGACTAATTTGCTAGTTAACCTGAGTAGGCTTTATCTTTTGGACGTTCTATATCTGGAAAGATATTGTGAACTGGACCAAATCTAGAGTCATTTGAAACTGTTAACACTTGTAGCTTTAGGTTTTGTTACATATGAATAGACCAAATTATTATTATGAGCATAAAGTGTTGCCTTATTTTCTGTTTCCCACGCTTAATAATTACCACTTCTAATATTTGTATGTAATCATGTAGAGTCTATATTAATGCATGGCCCTAACATTAATACACTAGATTATACATTTTGTGTTTATTGTTGTTTTAAATATTTAAGATTAAGTGCTTGTTTATGAGATTACATTGTGGTACATTGAAAATAAGTGTGTTATTGTCCTGTTTTATTTTGTCTGCCAATCACATCCCTACAGATACAGAAAGCATCAACACTGATCAACTATGGGCGTACTATGGGCGTACTATTAACTCACTCGTCTGTTACTGACAACAGTAGACAACATATTCAAACACTGTTGAAGCTTATTAAAGCATATATCTATTTCCCCATGTTTACACATATTTCCAGCTTCTTAACCCTGTATGACTACACTGACAATATCCCATTTAAAACAGACAGAAGATGGGTCAAAGAGCTCAGCGCTGATTGTGTTGCAGCTGTTGCTGG